CGCCCCATCAGAAAACCTCATCCCAACAGAAAACCCCATAACAGAAAACCACAACTTCACCTCCCTCATCGCCCAAGAAAACCAAGTCACCCTCACCTTGCAAACAACAAACCCCTACCAGAAACCGCTACCCTTCACCCCTCCTCCCCCCAACCACAAAGAACCTCTCTTCAGGGAACCCCTCCTCACCAGAGCTCCTCACACCAGAAAACCAACTCTGCAACCCATTTACACCAGAAGTTCCATCCAGAACTGCCAATTCCCAGAGATCCACTCAGCATTCTCTAGCCTCCAAACCAAAAAGGAAACCCGTCTTCCGCCTTATCTCCTCAAACAGTAACAATGATGGTTTCCTGACATCATCTCTGGCTGGAGACATCACATCCAAAAGAAGGATCACTCCTCCAAAGGAACCTTCCCCAAAACCCCCCTCTGTTCAACAACCTGCTGGGAGAAAACCTCACATGCCTAAGGCACAAGGATTGCAGATGCCAGGTTTTGAAGATGAAGAACCAAAGATATCTTTCAACAAGTTTGTTGAAGCTGCAGAGGACTTTGGTAGCCAAATGCTTGATGGTATGCAGAAGCTGATTCTTGTCAACTAGAGTCACTATGATCACTTATCTCATGTGAATTACAATTTCAACTATGGTATGGAATTTATTTCTGATAACTTTGCTTCACTAAGAGCTTCTCTGAACGACTTCATGCAACAATCCACTGCCAAGACAGCTGCTCTAGCAACAGAAGTGGATGGATCAGTTCTATCTTATACTCCTTTGGTCTGAACTTCAACACCCAAAATGATGTCCCTATCAAGATCTCTAAAGCTGTTGACAATCTCCAATGGTCTGATGGCAAGACTAAGGAGCAATTGCAAGATGTTGAGGAACTATGCAAGGTTCACCGAGATCAAACCAGAACACTCTTTGCTGCTGACAAAGAGAGATACCAGAAGCTGGTTCTACTTGAGGCAAGCTCTAAGGATATCTACTCAGTTATTCAGAAACAACAGGGGTTGATAGAAGGGCTCACCTCTGTTACTCAAACTTTGCCTGAGACTCTGGAACAGATTGTCTCTACCCAAGCCTCAGAATTCCAAAAGCTCTCTCTTTTGATTGGTGATATTCATGATTCCAAAAAGGGGGAAGAGGAACCTGAACCACAAAAGCCAAGAACTGACAGAACATCAGCTAGAGCATCATCTTCTGTGTACCCTGCACCCTACTTTGAAGCTGTTATCCAGAAGAAGATAGCAGCTGGTATTCCCAGGACCTCATCTCATCTCAAGAAGGGTTCCAAGAAAAGGAAAGCCCTAAATTTCACCAACTGGATACTAGGTGGGTCTCAAAGGCTGGACAGAACTCAATTCGAAGAAATGAAGCAGAAGATGACTCCCAAACAGCAACATAACATCTACCTAGATAAAGATGGCTATGTAAGAGTCAGACATGGTGGATCTTTGGAAGAAGTTGAGCATTGGTACCGGAAAAATATTGTCCCTGGCAAGACGGTACATGAAGGAGTTCTCAACTACCTGGACTGCAAACTCTCTCCTATATAGGCCTCCTATCATAGTTCCGGTAATCTCTCAACAATAAGAGCAGAAATCAATGAAGAGCTGCAAAGGCTACAAGGACTGGAAGATCAAGCTATGGCTCCAGCAGCAAGGAAAATTTGTAACAGAACACCCTTGTACTCTGACTGCATAATAAGATAACTCCTCTGCCTCTCTGTTTGAACGATATTATTTACTCTTTATCAGCTTTTGACCTCTGCTAACCCTTTCTGTTCTGTTTGTGTGTTATTTTGTTTGCTCTGATACTTTGTTTTACCTTGATTGTATCTTACTCTTGCTATTTTCCTATGCTAAGTTGCCCACCAAGATTGTTTAATGAACAGTTTTAACTTTATCTCTTTTATGGTGAAAGGCACTTCTCTGGAAATAGTTTAAGGGTTTTGGCATCATCAAAAAGGGGGGAATTGTAAGGAATAATTGTATTTAGATTTTGATGATGCTAGGTTAATTACAATGTTAAAGTACCCCATTAGAACTTTTGTAATAGAAATTTATCTAAGTGTAAAGTTGTAGCATATTCGACGGGACAGAGAACCTCAGAATCTCTGTTAGACCAGAGAAGCAACAAAGACAGAAGATCAGGATATCAACAGAGTTGCCCTCTACTGCATCTACCAGAAATGCTCCTTACTTAGAAGAAACTCGAAGGAACCTCCAACGGCTGTGAAACTAACGGGAAATACCCTAACGGCTAGGAGCCTCCTCGACGGAACATGGTACTGTACACGCATTAAATGCTCAATTAATGCGGTACGTACGAAGAGATATTTAAAGCCGATGATTGACCATGCGGATATCCTTTCACCCCCAAAATAGCAAGTCGAAGAACCAACTGGTCAAATCAACAGTACAAGCAATTAATGAAGTTGTCTTCTACACTCCAACGGGAAGACCGCTCCATGTATATAAGATACACTTCAAAGAACTACAAGATAAATTTGCTCAACCTTTGCTTTCACAACATTCAAACCTACAAGCTTTCTTGAGATCACAACTTCATCTTCCTTAGCAAGAAAAGCTTACGTTGGAAAGATTTCATCTACTTATCTTTTCTTCCAACAAGAGCAAAGTTCCTCTAGTTCTTCAACACTTCGAAAGCCTCTTCTACACATCCTTTGTGAAGAAGCTACGTGGGAGAAAACTGATTTTAAATCAAACACTTCTTGCAAAAGAAGGGACGTCTCAAACCAGCTGGAGTAGTGAAGTGGGGATACTTCAAGTGACTCAGTGAAACGAGACCCGCCATTAGGAAGCAAGGACTGCATCCCGGGTGGCAACAAGACTTGAAGAAGACGTGGAGTGCTTCTTAAGTGCTAGGGACTAAGGGATTGTAATTGTTAACTTACAAGCTTAGTGGAACAGTGGACTAGAGGAACAAGTTGTTCCTTGAACCACTATAAAAACCCCGGTGTCATTTACTTTACGTTTTTACTTTCTGCACTTAAGATTCTAACTGATTAACTCAAAAAGTTGGACTCTGTGTTCAGCAGATCTTCTTTAAGAGTTAACAGAAAGGCATTTGCCTTAGTGTTTTTCTGAGGCTACCCGGACAGAACTCCTATCCGCTGCCAGGTCCAATTCTGTCAACAGAACTCAACCTTCTTTGTCACCTATCCAGACCTTCTCTGTTGAGTCACTTGTGACTTTGAGAAAAGTTCAAAAATACTGAAAAGTCTATTCACCCCCCTCTAGACTGTTCCTAGTACAAACGGGACCAACAGCCACAAAAGGGGCAAAACCGTGGAAAGAAAATAAATGGCTTGTTCCAGCGGGGAAAGGAATCAGATATGAAAATAAGCCTACCAGTGGAAACAAAGAGGATTGCATGCGACCAAGTACTGGAGAGGGTGGGCTCTTATCACACGAGAGGGGACACATTGAGCAGAAATGAAGGCGTGTGGAGGATTCAGTAGAGCACCAGAACGGGGAAGGTATGGAGATCGCTCCGAACGAAGGAAAAAATGGGGAGGAGGTGAGCTACAAATCTGTAGCTCGCCAGGCACATCAGTGAGGGACCCTTGTCTGAAGCTTATGGAATTTAATAAGGCCGAGGGCCACATGAACTTTATTTATTTTTGCTGCTTTTCCTTTTATGGTACTCTTGTTGCTTTTGTTTGTGTTTGGAACTCTAGCGGTAGGTTGAGGTTTACCTTCTCTTTTTTGCTTTGGGATACTATTATTGGTGGAAGCGATAAGGCTTGTTTTGCCGTTAAAAACTTCGAAACTCTCACATGGTTCGCGAATAGTCTCGCTCTTTCGGGGATGGTCTAATCTAAGTCTAGCCAGAGAGTGGGGGGCCTTTGGGCTATGCAGAGCCTCAAGAGGAGGTTTGGTGAGGTAGGGAAGGTAGTACTTTTAGAGGTTTGTGTGAGAAGGTTGAGCATTCTAAGGGGGGAAGTACGTTGCGATCTTTGATTAATATAATATAATCAGTTTCCTTTAAAAAAAAACCATGGTATCGATCATCTCGTATTAAGTAAAGAAATAATCTATAACTATGACCTAATTAAGTATAGTAGATACAATGTGACTTGCTAACTTTTAATGATTAATTATGCTATAGTTTTATATCAAAGTAAGTAAACCCCCACCGAAGGTGAGGGAGCCTTTGCGGCACTGTTGTGATGATGATGATGATTAAAGTAACTATAAGGAAGAACTTCTGCAATAGATATTTGTGAATATAAAACTAATTAAATTGATTATGAGTACATTTCTATAGCCACTTTGATTTAATTTTAAAAGTAATTATAAATAGGTTACTTAAATTTATAATACTTTAATAATGAGAGTGTATCGTTATATTTTTATGAAAAAAATATATTTAAAATATAATTTATTAATAAAATAAAGATAAAAATAAATGGAAAAATAGCTAAAATGATCCTCTACAGTAACTTCAGCCAATACAGACAGAAAAGTAACTACAATCTTACTTTTTCTTATTATTACACAATTCAACGCGTGAAATCAAAATTCACGTGTTTGGTTAAAAAGTTGGCTGATAAGCTGAAAAGCAGAGTCACCAAGCAGGCTCTATATTATTGGATGAAGTTTCGTTGAGATAGATGATGTAGATATTAGTAGGCCACGTTTTTATATTTTATCTCTGTAATTCATTTTTTGTAAAAAAATAATAAATTGGAAAAGGTGAAGTTGCGTGGCATAAATAGAGCAATGCTATCTAACTCTCATAGATAGACACGTTACATAATAATTGGGGTAAAATGGTATTTTTAATAGCCTAATCATTTCTTATATGTAAGTAGATATAATTGTAAACACAATTATAGAGACCTTTGACAAATTATTTTTTTATATATTCCATATTGATTTGAAAAAATGGCCGCCGTAGAACTAATCATGTTTTGATTTCCAAAAATATGAGAAATTTGATTTTTTCCGAAAATGTAACCCATTTAAAACACACGCACTCTTCAGGGGAAGCGAAGCATTCATCGATACTTTTCCCATTTTCGCTCTGCATCTTTGCTCCCAACATCCATCGAACATTTCTTCTGTTTTGTTCTGTTCGATGCCCTTTGCCGCATCCTTCAGCTGTGCCGCCGACTTGGTTGCCGCCGACCATCATAGCAGTTGTCTCCCTACTCCACGCCGGATGTCAGATCTAAGTGCTAGGGTTCACATTTGGGGCGGCGACCGAGCGTCTGAAGGATTTCACATCTTGATTGAGGTTCGTTGGGGGTACTACGATGGATTGAGGCGGGATTGAGTCAGGGGAAGGTAGGATTTGGGGGTACTATGATTTAATTGATCATTCCGGGTTTAGCAGATCCTTGAATTTTCTCTGTAATGGCTGTGCAGGCAAATGGTGAATCGTTTGTTGTGAGAACTCTTAATCGGAAGACCCTCTGGGAAATGCAAACCCCACAGCTTTGACCCCTTATTAGAATCTTTTGACTACATACAATTGGTAAATGTCATCTCGAGTGAAGCCAGTCAATCAAGCCGGAGTTGCTTAAGAAAGGGTCAAACGTGTGGGGTTTGTGGGCTGGGGAGGGGGCTGAAGGCTACAGTGGTGCTTTAGGCTGGTGGGTGGGGGACGGGAATGGTGGTGGAGGGTAGGCGATGGGTGTGGGCGGCAGTCATAGAGGGGCTGGGGTGGAGAGGGGTGTAGAGAGCAGGAAGGGGCGGTCAGCCAGTCAACGGGGCGGCAGTTAATGGACGGGGTGGGCTGCAGCGGTGTCACTTGACTGGAGTCTCTTTGACTGATGTCACTGTGAACAGAGTCAGTTTTGAACGAAGTCACTTTTGAATGGTGTCACTGTGGTCGGAGTCACGGTGTCACTGATGTCACTGTGAACAGAGTCAGTTTTGAACGAAGTCACTTTTGAATGGTGTCACTGTGGTCGGAGTCACGGTGTCACTGATGTCACTGTGAACAGAGTCAGTTTTGAACGAAGTCACTTTTGAATGGTGTCACTGTGGTCGGAGTCACGGTGTCACTGATGTCACTGTGAACAGAGTCAGTTTTGAACGAAGTCACTTTTGAACGATGTCACTGTGGTCGGAGTCACTGTGGCGACATAGTCTGTGGCGGCAGAGTCACTGTGACGGCAGAGTCACTGTGGCCAATGGGGCAGTCACTGTGGCCGGTAGGGCAGTCACTGCGGTGATGGAGTCACATTGGTCGGAGTCACTTTACATTGTAGTGGTTAATTGTGATGTTTGGTCATATTTTTGGAATTTTTAAAAACATGTAATTTTTTAGTCTTTTATCTTATATTTAGTAATATTCAGGCCAAAAGGCCTATTGATTTCATATGAAAGATCACAAAAAATTATGAATTTTAATATATATTTTGTAAAAATTAGAGTAAAAATGAAAAAGTTACAACACTTTAAAGAAAATTGAGGTTTTTTATAACTTGAGCCCCACCAAGATTATCTCTCCAAACCGGTTGATCCCTTGTAACTGATGTTCCGTACATTTTAAGTGAGAAAATGGCCACGTGGCATTCTCATAGAAAAGGAATGAATTGAGGAGAGCAAGACGCATACGATTCATTAAGGGTAAAATTATCTTTAGATGATCTATCTCCTTTCTTATATATAAATAGAAGACTTTAATAATGAGAGTGCAACGTTTTATTTTTATGAAAAAATTATATTTAAAATATAATTTATTAATAAAATAAAGATAAAAATAAATGGAAAAATAGCTAAAATGATCCTCTACAGAAACTTCAGCCAATAAAGCCAGAAAAGTAACTACAATATGATGGATATATATATATATATATATATCAACAAGGCTCCACATGCAATATATATATAAATATATAATAGCTAAAGTCCATATAAATCCATGAAATCAAACATGTATGAACTAAAATTAGAACCATACCTTGAGAATTCATTTGCATTAACACTTTAAGAAGACACGGGAATCCAACGCAATTGATCGGCTAAACCTTCGAATGCTATGTTGCTTATGAGATTAATCTTAATCCTATAATTGATGAGTATTTATAGGACTAATTTTAGAATAGTAACGAATAACCTTTCTAATTACTTCATTATTGCGACAATAAGTAGAATAATTTATTAGGCTATTTTCCGTTACAATGTCGTTACAATTATCTCGTTATTTACATGCACCGGGGGTCATAACCGTTGTATCACTTTAGTGTAATATATTTAATTTGACCCGTCACCAAAAGAAATATATTATCCTCATATCTACACTTTTATTATTTTATGAATAGCCAATGTATTATTTATCTGATGGTAAACACATCTTAATCAATTATATATTAGGCCCCTTTTATTGTTTCCAACAATCTTCCACTGAGCCTTATATGTAATTCTTAACAAAATGTGTTATCTTTATGAGCTCAAAAATACCATCATATAAAATAACATATCCTTAAACAATCTTGTCCATCGGGCATACTAATATAGAACCATTGCAACATTTTGTCATGTTAAACATAACTATACCACCAATGATTACTTATATCAATATTACATAATGGAACTTTGCTTGAGTTGGAAATAAGGATCTTTCCAACGTCTGCCTTCTCTTGTAGAAGATGATGAAGTTTTAATCTCAAGGAGGCTTTTTGATTTTGAATCCTTGAAGGTTTTGTTTGAGCAAGTGTTGAGCAAAGGATGTAGCAAAGGTTATCCGGTTGTTCTTCGTAGAGTATCTTTTATACTTGGATTGTCTTCCCGTTGGAGGAGGAGGACAATGCATTAAATGCGCAGACAGTTGACTTGACCAGTAGGATCCGGGAAAATTGGCGAGTTGCTATTTTGGGATAAAGTAATCCTGAAATATCGGCCAATCATCAGCTTTTACTCTTCAGGGTACAGGGTGCATTAAATGTGCATTTAATGCGCGTACTGTAGCTTTTCCATTGAAGTTGATAAGTCCATTTTTGTACTTGTTTTTCTTATCAATTTTAAGCGATTTTGGATTGGAAAATAGAAAAACAAGGCATGTTTTATATATTTTGGTTCAAGTTTCATGAAATCAGGTAAAAGTCACGTCCATGATATGTTTGACGAAATTTCGGGTCAATTAAGCACAAAATGCGTCAATTTGAGTGAAAAATGATATCATACCGAAAGAAGCAAGCAGAATTTCAAAGTGGTCCAGAAGGGAAAGTTGAAAAGCACAAAATACAGAACAAGATGGTCAAATAAACTTATAGGCGGCCTGGCAGGCGGCCGAAAAATGGAGGCCTGCACACCCGCCTTCCGTTTTTTTTGAAAAATCAATTTTTTTTTGGAAATTTGACCGAACCGGAGAAAAACAGAAGGCGGCCGAAACTGGACGGAAGGCTGCCGCCTTCGATGACCGCTTGCGGCAGAAGACGACGAAACGAACAACCGGTCGGTGCGATGTGACGGCAGGCGGCCGGAGCAAGGCGGCAGGCGGCCGCCTGTTTGGAGGCCTGCGAGATTTTTGGTGCTATAAATAGCCCGATTTTTGCTGAACTCAAATACACCATTCTTAGCCCGAAACTAGTTCAAAAAGGTCTTCTTCTTCCTCTTCAAAGCTCGGATTTCCACCATTGTTGCACCTTCAACTTCAATCTTTCATATCTTTTTCATTTTAGCTCCAATTTGTAAGTTCTTTATATGTATTTTAATCTTCTCAACGAGTAGAATCTGAATCTGTTCTTTGTTTTCTCGATCTGTTCTTCGATTTTTTCCAGAATATTTATCTAGTATTTCACATTTTCTTCCATAAATTAAATAAAATAGTTGTTGATGTTGAATTCATTCCAATTAATTATATAGTTGTTCACTAGCCTCAAGGTTGTTATTTATCTGAAGAAAGTAAATTTTCACGAAGTGAAAGTAATTTTTAATTAATTTCGGTAATTAGGTGTTATTATTGCATAAATTAAATTAATTACTTAAAAAGAGTAACAAAAATAGTCTCGGCCCTAATTCCAGTTTATTTCACTGTAATGTAACCCCTAGTAGTCAACAAAAAATTTAGAACAAATTTAGCCTATTTTTAATTGCCTTTTTTATTTTATAGTTAAAAGTGGGAAAATTATCAATTAGGGTTAAAATTGGATTTTAGGTTTAAAAATTCGTGAAAAATTCCAAAAAGTCATATTGTAGTTCCAGAAAGTTTATTTTGACAATATCTTATTTTTGTTTAATTTTTGCTATTATACATGTTTAATTCCTTGTTAATGTTTAATTTATTTACCATATTGTTGAATGCAAAAATAATGTTTAGTAGCTAAATTTGTTTTGGGCATGAATTGAGTAAAGGAATATGGATTGACTTGTTAGCCGAAAATTAGGGGTTAAAATTAATTAATTGAGCTAGTTATTCAATTTGATGAATTAGTAATTAATAATTATTAGCCAATTTCATTAATTAAATTTTGGAAAATTATTTCTAACTTGTCTATGAGATTAGAAAGTAATTTGAGCCAACTTATTCAAGCACATTAATAAGGCCTAGAAATAGGATAATTTTAATGAAATGGATTTACATCTTGTCTATGAGAAATAAATTCAAATTGCTTAAATAATGAATTTAATTAGTTAATGAATTTGGCTATTTTTATTAATTAAAATTTTGGAGAATTATTTCTGCCTTGTCTATGAGATTAGAATTTAATTCAAGCCAACCATTTTTGAATACATTAATGAAACCTAGAAATAGGATAAATTAATGAAAGTAATTTCTATTCTTGTCTATAAGAAAAGAAATTATTAGTCCAATTGTTGTTTTAATTCCCCTAATTACTAGGTCCAAGAATATATCCATTTCTAATTATTCAATTCATTGCTCTTCTTTGATCAATTCATTTAGAGTTTAATATTTTTTATTTAGTTTAATTTTGAGCCATCATTAGTATTTGCATAATTTAATTACTTTATTTTTCAAAAACTAGTTTAGAAAATCAATCAAAAGTTTTAATTTGGAAAACTTCCAATAATTTGCGATAACCTGTGACTGAGCTTAAAATCAAGAAACTCCTCCGCCATTCCTCAAGAGACACGATACTCGGGGAAAAACCGAAAGGTTAGACTCCGTTTTACTACAACGACGCGAAAGCGGTTATCAAATGGCGCCGTTGCCGGGGAATGGCACGGTGAATTCTTGATTTTGATTTTAGCATGGGCGAATTCAAGTTAGGGAGACTTTCTATTTCTTTTTTGTTTTGTTCTCACGTGTTTGCTTGAGATTTTCTCATGGATTACTCAAGCGAACACTTTCATTCTCATCCACCATATCACTATCCATATAATGAACAACAAGTTTTCCAAAATAATCAAAATGAAGGATATTATGAGCAAGGTTATGAGGATAACAATCAATGGTGCGAAAATCCACCTTTGGGGTATGGAGATTACCAATTTCAAGATAACTATTTCCACCAAGGGCAAAACTTTGAACGCCATGATGATTTTTCCTATCAAGGTAATTATCATGATAATTTTAATTATTATGAAAATTACCACGAAGGGCTAGAAAATCATCACACCGGCACAAACGAGTACTCCTACGAGGTTGACTTTGAAATTTCACCTTTTCCTGGACACGAGCTCGAAAAAATGAAATCATCCTTGCTCGACTTTGTGGAAGAATTAAAAAGCGCGAGGATTGAACTAGCATCTCGTGATGAGAGTATCAAGAAATTGTGTGAACAAATCATTTATGATAATGAACACAAAATTCAAAAGTAGACATACGAGGAAGGTGCTAAATCTGAGGAGGAGGCAGCGGTAACTATGGGTGAGGCGGTTGAAACTCTTTGCACCCCTATTTCTTTTGAGCCTCTCATTGCTACTGAGCTAGAGTCTGTCCTCATAGAACTTAGTCCTAAAGAACTCATTCTGGAAGTGCCCACTGAAGTTGATGAAGAGACCATAGATGAGGAGATACTTTGTGACACCGGCCCTACCCTACCATCTATGGATGATCTCTCACCTGAAGAATCCTTGAAGGATAGCCTTAATGAAGATGTTCATCGTACACAAGCCCAAATGCCTGTTGAAGTTGTTATTGAAACGTGTGATTTGGAGGAAACATTCTCCGATGATGCCTTCTTTGACTCCCTACTCAATGATGACGAACATAGTTGTTCTAGGCAAGGATCTGTTTGCCTAGATGATATATGTGGGGTTAGTGAGTTAGGAAGTTGGGATGCATTCTTAGAGAGTGACACAGAATCTAAACTTTGCGATTTTCATGTTGAGGGCATAAATTAAGAAGAGAAAACTCATCAAGAGGAGTATCAAATCTCTAGTCACGCTACTTTTACCTTGATGACTCCATTTGAGCGGTTGGAGA